CCTGTCATTAAGACTTATCTGTGGAAATATTTTCTCCTGAAATATCATGTTATGTTTTCAATTTATTAACAAGACAAATGAATCTGTGCCAAAGTAACAATTTATTTTCTTGGGCAATATATATTATGTTAAGTAGAATCTAAACTTCTTAACTTTAAGGAAGGGCCTACTTTGGAAATTCAGGACTCTGAGAAGGTGAACAATGGGAAAATCAGCCCGCTAGATTGTCTCACAGAGGTGTGTGTGTGTGTGTGTGTGTGTGTGTGTGTGTAGCTGAGGTGGTGGGCAGTGGAGGGAGTAGGTGGAGAGGGGCTACTCTAACCAACTGCCTCCCCCAAGGGACCATCCAGTATCCTTTCTCTTGAATCATGTACAAATAGAATCATTCAATACTTAACTTACAAATGCCCCAAAGGTGAGTAACACCAGAAGAGTTAGTCATTAATATGCATTTTAGGTTTTGTTGCAAGAGCACAGGTAGACAGAATTTAGAAGTCAATTTGACCTTTTCTTTTAGCAAGTAGAAGGAACTCTAGAAGAATTCTCCTATCATTTACACAGTCCAAGGAATGACATATTAAACCAAGGTTCTGATTTGCACCATAAGAACAACTAGAACTCTTGAATAGTAACTTACATATACTGGTAAAATTTGGAACTTCTTTATCAGTGGTAAGAGAGCCAAAGGAACATGAGTAAGGGATGGTTTGTTACACACTCACTGTGGAAAGGGGAAAGCTAAGGCACTAAGGGTATGTTCCCACTGCCTCACTTGAGCATATCTTTTTATAGAATTCCTGACCTAAACTTTCCCACTGATTTGTGATAATGGTGGAAAGACTGAAAATAACCAAACATAAATTCTATTCTATTTCCCCTTCTCAAAGCATCAAACCAAGGAAAAGCTCTCAAAAGAAGTTTCCCCATTAAAAATATGCACCAATACATGACCATTTGTTCACATATGGTTAGTGATTTCCTTTATAAGAAACTGCTTTGTCATTTCAAAAACCCACTATGCATTCATACTTCCTGAATGTTTCTGTTCGTAAGATTTTATTTTAACAAAAAAAAAAAAAAAGGGATTTTATTTTACAATTTAACCTACCTCAGGCAGAAAATGTAAATGTTAATTTTATATTCAAAGTGCACAGATTGAATATATTCTTCTAATATTATCTACTTTGTAGAACAGAAATTTATCTGGAATTCCAAACTTAAGAAATGAGTGAATCAAGCTCGTATTCTCAGGAACTTCTCAGATTTGGAGACCCTCCACCTCTCTATGCTGCTGCTTTCTTGGCCCTGCCACTAGGCCAGAGGGGTTCTTGTCTCTATTTCACATGTGATGGCTAAGGCTAAATGCTGCCAATTGATCACAGTAGATAATGACAATGTACTGTTGAGCTACTACCATTTCGATGTGTATGCTAGTAATACACGGAGAGCAATTTAGTTACTTAACATCCAAATAAATTTTGCCAATAACTGATGCTCAGTGAGCAGTAGCCAGGTGACTGTGGCTCCCAGAACAAATGGGAAAAAATCTCCTTTACTAGGCAATCATCAACCCTTGCTATTTATTTCCTCCTATCCAAGTGTATAAGAGTAAGAAAGAATACATGCAAAGAGGGCAATAAATTCAAATAATGAAAAGCAGGGGGAAATTGTCTTGACTGTAAAAATAGATGCATAAAAGTAGCTTGAAATCTTCAGCCAAATTGAGGACTAAATCTATTTACTAAAACTTTAGAGACTATTATTTATAAATATGAATCTGGAGAAAGACAAGAAGGTGGCAAATTTTTTGGCACCAAAATCCTTTCAGCACCTTTATGTATTATTAGTGCTTTGCATACTATAATACTTTTAAATTCTCTACAAATCACGTATCTCTCTACCATATTCATTAAAGGTTTACCTTTTTTTCTTTTCAAAGAAAAACGTTTGTTTTTGAAATAAAAAGTAATGGAAAAATGTACTCAAATGTACTCAAGAGAAACTTGTAGAAAGAAATCTGTGCATTTAGGAAGAATATTTGTATTGTCATTTTCTATGATTCTTCAAGCACTTGGTTTAATTTATCTTCTTTTTCCCTTCAAAATCTGTACATGAAAATTCCTTTTTCTACAGTTATTTTATAAGATAGAAAAATCTGCTCTTATAGAAACCTTTGGGAGTGAGGAATGAAATCAAACAGGGGAAAATAATTTATTCTTAAATTCCTGAAGCTGAAACAGGATGACAAAGCAGCTAGGGAGATGTGAAAACGGCCCAGGGCCTCGAGGAGCTGGTGGTTGGGTCAGGAAGGTAGGGTTTCCTGCTACCATTGACTAGCTCTTTCACAAAGCAGAAGTATTTTTTTTTTCTCTCCCTCTCCCTATGTTCTTACTCTTATGTGTTTTCAAGATCAGTTCAAACCTAGAAAACATGCTTGTCATTTACCCAGAAACTGAAAGAAGATGGGGTAGGGGGTGCCCTTCAGTGCAGATAGTCAAAATGCAGACAGATCAAAAGCTAAATCCAATTTAACCCACCTCAGGCAGAAAATGTAATTGAATTAAACTTCCTCTAAATATGATAAGTTTGGGGCTCTTAAGCCAGGCACAAAGACCTGGGTTAGAGTGAGCTGCTCAGTAAATGGATGCATTGAGCTCTAGCTGCCCCACCCACGGGGAGTTTGATAAGCTGTTGATTGCCTTTATCACTTTACTACCAGGCTGAAAACTGATTAAGCTGCTTATGGGGCTCCGGGGGCTAATGGCCTGGCCACCAAGAACACCACCAGCACTGATTTAAGCAAGCTGCTTGGCACGTATGGTTTGATTATTATAAGGGGAAAAAAGAAAAGAAGAAGAAAAAGACAGCAGGGTACAGGAAAGCCTTAAAAAGCAGGTTTTATTATTCCAAACGGGCACACACTACTTTGATACCCTAAAATGAATACGGAATTACTCTGATTCTTTCTCTTCATCTAATATCAAAACTCGTTTCTGAAAGGCTTCCTCAAAGAGTATTCACTTTGGAGCCACCCATTCTATTTTAAACCACCTTTACAAGAATGTTTGGTGCCTTTAAAACCCACTTCTCAAGTGATAGAGTCTGGGTCCTCATACTATGATCAGACGGACTGCTAGAAAGTAACAGGAAATGCACATTGAGTGTTTCAGCTGATTATTATTCTTGGAACACCACAGCATAATTGTAATTAAAAATATACCCCTATCCAGTTCAGCCAGTGCCGTAAAGCTTGCTTGTGCAGTAAAGAACACGCAGGACTGAAGGAGTTGGAGCAAACTGATATGTTCCAGTAGGTTTGAATCTGACACATGAGTGGAAATTAAAGCCCCAGGCTTCTCTCAGACCTCTTCAACTAAATGTTCTAAAATTATTTCTGTTATTTAAAATAACTTTCTTGGGCTGGGGCCGTAGATCAGTGACAGAGCACTTGCCTTGCACGTGTGAGGCACTGGGTTCAATCCTCAGCACCACACAAAAATAAACAAATAAAATAAAGATATGCTGTCCATTTGCAACTACAAATTTTTTTTTAAAAAATAATAAAACAAAATAACTTTCTTACCTGCAGAGGAACAAAGAACACAAAAGTCTTCAGTTTTTTTTTAATGAAAACACACACACACACACACAACACCTTAAAAAAGAATTTCAAGTTTGAAGAACACCCAAAGGATATGAACACAGTTTTAAGTGGATCTCATTCCTTCTGGGTGAAACAACCAGAGAGGAAAACAACAGAAGATCAGAATCACAGTAGTTTGAGATATTCTGAAAGTTGTCACAATTGCTTTTTAACTGACTCTTGAAAGAATCAGTACATATATATAAGGAAATTAATGCTTTCATTTAGTGTCTGACAGCTTCTTAGGGAGTAAGATGTAGATTTAAATGATAAACCAAAACTTAACATACTCAGAACTTAGGGCTGGACACACAAAACCTTAGTTTCTTCCTGGCTGCAAACCTGGTCAACCATTAAAAGGACATGTACTAACAAAAGTATAAAAAATGATTTGACTCTTAAATGTTCTGTTGTGTTTTATTAAACTTTAAAAGTCATTCATCTGTTTGGCTTGAGCACAATCATTGGCTTAACACATGCAATCATTAAGTTTTTCATCTTTTTTCTTCACATTAAAAAAAACTGAAATAAAGTCACATGCCAGAAAATTCACTCTTCTAACGTAAACAACTCACTGATTTTTAGTATCCATGATTGTGCAACCACCATCACTTATTCCAGAACCCTTTTATCACCCTCCAAAGAAATCCCACATCCACTAGCAGTCTCTGTTTAACCCTCTAGCTCCCCAGATCATAGCCAACACTATTTTCTGTCACTATGAATTTGCCTATTCTGAATATTTCATTTAAATAGAATCATAAAATACAAATGATTTCTTATCTGGCTTCTCTCACTTCACATGATGTTTTCAAGGTTTGTCCATGTCATAGCATGTATCAGCACTTCACTCCTTTGTATGGATGGATAATATTCTATTGAATGGATAGACACATTTTGTTCATCCATTCATTAGCTGATGAACTTTTGGTCTCTTCCAGTTTTTTTGCTGTTATGAATAATGCTGCACAAAACAGTTTTGTGTGATTTTTTTTATCTGAATTTATGTTTTTAAGTCATGTGGGTATATACTATGGGGAGGAATCACTGGGTCATATGGTAAATCTATGTTTAACTTTTTGAAGAACTGCCAACTGTTTTCCAGAGTGGCTATACTACTCACATTCCTACTAACAATGCATGAGAGCTCCAGTTTCTCCACTTTCTTGCTAGTAATTGTTATTGTCCTATAGTATCTTTTTATACTGTTTTTTTCCCTCCCATTTTGAACAGAAATTAAGTATAAGGGATTGTGATGAACATGACCCCAGTGATGGCAGGACTCAGTGCCAAGACCATAATCAACAGACAATTCCCTAGAAGAAAATGAAAAATGCAATGGCCCCTCAGCACTTACCTGCTGCAGGTCAGCCAGGGAATACAGGTGGATCTGTTGAAGGAGGTATTCTCTGGGGAAAATTCTGAAAAAAGGGCAGATACACAAGTAAATTGTGTTGCCACAGACACCTTTTCTCATAAGTTTCAAAGTCTTATTCAAGAATTCTTATCCTCTGACTTCTTGCCTTTCTACCCCTACTCTCCAAGTCTTTTTTTCTCCAAATCTATTAAGAAACTCACAATAATTTCTTTTCCTCAAATATTTTTGTAACATAGATCCCAGAATGAAAAGAAATGGCAGTATGAGTTTCATTGTCATTGTTGTCTCCCTCTACCTTTCCCTCTCCCTTTTCTCCTTCTCCTTCTTTTTTCTTGTGGTCCTGGGAATAGAACTCAGGACCTCACACATGCTAGGCAAGCACTGTACCACTGAGCTCCATCTCTAGACCTGGTCTTTCATTTTTACTGTAAATGCTACAAGTACTGTGAAATGGTCTAGACCTGAGGACCAGGGCATTAGTTTTCCCATACCAGTTGTGTCCCTAAAAAGCTGTATGAACTAGGGCAAGTCCCCTAGCCCCAGAAACTTCAGCTTCTGCACTATATAATAAGGGTGACTGAAACTGAAATGTCTCCAAATAGATTTCTAGCTGTAATACTGCAAACCTAAATTAATTTCAGAGTTTAGGAACATTGGATTAACAACCCACATGTATGTCAGAACCTTCTATGGTTTTCATTAATGGGGAACTGTGGTATTGATATCACATTAATGAACTATCCTTTAAATGTATAGTGATGGTAATATTTAAAACCTAAGTGCAGATGAGAATAATGAGTGTTACTGTTTGGATTTGGAATGTCCCCCACAGGCTCATGTGTTGAAGGTTTGGTCCCCAAAGCATCAGTGTTCAGAGGTAAGGCTCGGAAGTGATGAGAGCTGTATCATCAATGGATTAGTCCATTGAAAGGTTCAGAATTGAAAGGACTGTTGAGTGATGGTGGAAACTAGAGAAGGTGGGGCCTATTTTGGGGAAGTAGATCACTAGGGGCACACACTGGAGGAGCATATCTTGTCCCTGGTCCTTTTCTTGTTTTCTCCCTTTGCTTCACAGTCAGCATGAAGGGGGCAGCTCTGCTGCACCATGCTCTTGGTCATGATGCTCTGCCTCACACAGGTCCAGAAACATGGAGCTGAATGACTATGAATCAAACCTCCAAAACCATGAACCAAAATAAGTCTTTTCTCCATCAATATGTTTTTTTTTCAAGATTTTGTCACAGTGACTAAAAGCTGATTAACATAATTTAAAAAATATATTAAATAGGGGCTCTCAAACAAAATTCATATCTTTGCTATTGTCAATCCACTGCATCTGGAGAGATGACAGTGTGTGAACAGGAAAAAAAATTGATCTGGGCATAATGGTACACATCTATAATTCCAGTTTCTTGGAAGGTTGAGGCAGGAGGATTACAAATTCAAGGCCAGTTCTGGCAACTTAGTGAGTCCCTGTCTCAAAACAAAAAATAAATACTTGGGTTCAATCCCAAGTACCTAGCATGTATTAGGCTCTGGGCCCTGGGTTCAGTACTAAGTACTGCAATAAATAAATAAATAAATAAATAAATTTTAAAGAAATGGATAATGAGCAAGCAAAAATGTACCAAAGTATAGATAGTTGGAAAATACCACACATACTTGAAACTCATGGTGCTGGCATTTTCTTTGTCTAACATGTTACTATGCAATTATCTTATTATTAAATGAAAAAAAGCCAACTCATTCAGTTAACATTTATGACTGTCCATTACATGTCAAACACTATGCCAGTCATTAGGGGGACATCTGTGAATAAGATCTGAGTTCAAGAATCAGGAAGCCGAGTGAGGGCAAGGCATAACATGGATATAGAAGATGGTAAGAGTTGTGCATGGAGTACATACTTCTGGACTGATATGACGTGTGGATTATAACCCTGGCTGTCTATTAGAATCACTCAGGGAGCTTTTGAAAATGACAGGGCTTATATATGTGTAGAGCCCAGAAATCAGTACTAAATAATAGAACAAAACAACCTCCATTTGCAATAACACATGACAAAGATGATCAAGAGACCTATTCCTATGGTACCTTACAGTGTTAAGCACTAAGAACAGTAAGAGAAGCCCACTTTGGGCTTGGCACTCAACACACATCATTTCATTCAGTCCTCACAATAGTCCTGAACATTAAGTACAAGTTCTGTCTCACATATGAGGAAATGGGCTCACAGGCATAGATTGATTTGCCCAGGGTCACAAGCTGGGATTCAAGGCCAGGATTTCTGAATCTATAGGTCTCCTTCCAGTTTCCTGGGGTTGGGGGTGGAAGAAGGAGGGAGGGAGGTATGAGTTAACCATCCTATTTAGCTATAGCATGCATATTTCTTCCAGATAGATGTTTGTTACTGTTTAGGCCAGTAGCAGTATAGTCAAATGACTTTTTTGAAGCGGTCAAAATGCACTTTATTGTGCCCTCTGAATTCAGTAGGGGGATGGAGAGACTGTAGGCAGTTATACCCGACAAGGTCTTACATGTTTTTAATGACAAGTAGTGAAAGAAGTGGGGGATTGGTAGACACAAGAGGCTTTTGGAAGAAGAATTAACAATGTTTAGAATGGGTGAGGAGAAAGGAGTTGAAGGTGACTGAAGTAGGCTGGTGTGGGTGATAGAATGGTGGTGCCATTGGCCAATGGAGGGCAGATTGTCAAGGAAGAGGACAACCATGCTGAATATTGAGTGCTTGTGTAGGGGACAACAAGTATGGATGAGTGTGTGAGGGATGCAGAAGAGACAGGGCACTACTGGCATCAGCATACAGGGACAGCAAAAGTAGTGGGGATGGATGAAACAGACCAAGAGAGAGTTAACAGGAAGGGGACTGAGCACGGACAAGGGTCATCTGTTTTTAATTTGTTTACTTTACAATATCCAGAACTATCTAAAAGTATACTTTAGTGGTCTTCAACTTTTCTCATGCTTGAGAAATACATTTTGCAAAGAATCAGGACTGGATATGTACTTCAGTGTCTAAATTTCCTCTTTTTGTGTAACATGTTCACATCTTTATACCCTTTATCCAGCTTCACTCAAATGTTTACATCTTATATAACCATGGAACACTGGTCAAAACTCAGATATTAATTATTATGTTTATTATATTTACACTTCATTCAGATTTCATCAGTTGTTTCACTAATGCCCTATCTCTGTTTCAGGATTCAGTCTGGAATATAACAGAACATTTAGATATTATTGTTTTATTGCTGTTGTTGTTGAATGTATTAAAGCATTTGCAAGGCAACTTGAGACTCAAATATATGTGCAGAAAAGGAAACCGAGGACAGTCTTTCAGAGGGACTCTGAGGGTAGCAGTATACGATGTTCTAGTATGGGGGACAGGGTGATTGGGAGTACATGAATGTGAGGAATAATCTTTTTGAAAGGTAATTGATAATGAAAATCCTTAGGTAGAATAAAATGAAAGTGATGTGGTAGCATACTAAGAAACAGCAACATTGTGATTCAAATAAGTGGCTGAACTGTCATTCAAGATTAGCTCCTACCTCTTCTTTTGGTTTTCAGGAAGTCAAGTCAGCTGGACAGAGTGAGAAGGGAGATGACTGAAATAATCTATAGCAAGGACAAATGGAGGGCAGCGTATCTGTTAGGTTTTGCTACTTAAAATTTTCTCTACTCTAAAATCTCTACAAATTTCTAAAATGTCTATATCTTGTATGTAGAATACAAGAATTATTTGCAAATTTACAAACCAAATCCTACTGGCATGCCCTTTATGCTCTAGATAACTAGGGTACTAAGTTATCCAATCAAACAAATACTTACTGAGTGTCAGGCACTGGAGATGGATTCTTCAATGCACATAACTGATGAGCAAAAAAGAGACTTTCCAGTGTCTCCTTTCTGGGTCCTTCTTACTTCCAAACATTGTTCATTATTGTTTTCACAATAACTAACTCACTTTGAATGTGGCCATCTCTAATACTCCTTCAACACTATTTGTACAGGTGAAGTTAGCTATATATTTATTTAATGTTGCTAAGTGTGTAACTATATCTCATGTATGTTTATTTTCCTTCTTCCTTTCCAAGAGCTTCTAAGTCTCTCCAAGAACACTTTGTCTACTGTCTCCCTTTATCACTCTTCAATGTCTAGTACCATAATTTATATGAGGTTGATCATGATAAACACAAAGAATTGGAAAATGTAATATGTGCAGAGAAGATAAAGGAACCAAGCTTATTGTGTCTGGAGAAGATGTTGTGTCCAAAAGATTTAGTGACAACCATTAAAAAACAGACTTTTAAGACAGATAATGCCAATTAGCTCTTCTCCCTGGAGGAAGGAAGTTGTGGCATAAAAGCACTGAAGTCAAATGGAAGAATAAATTTCCTGAGAGGGACAACTGGGAGGTATTAAACTGTGTCTCTTGTAGTGATGCTTTTTAATGTAAATAAAAGGATAAAAGACTTTTCTGTACCTATTTAGAGGTAGGGTCATGCTCTTCTGTCAGAGGAGGTTACAGTTTCTAAGGCAGGGCCAAATAAGGGCTCACTGCCCCTTGTTCCTCTTGTCCCTGAGGCAGACTGAATTTGTAATATATTCTCTGAATATCTTCTTCAGACAGGGCAACCACAGGGGTAGGCAGGGCAAATAGGGACATAAAAATCAAATTCAGGAAAAGGTTGACCATGGCAACTTCCCTTTTTGGTGACCCAGGGCTCTTCCCTGCTGTGAATTAAATTCTACAAGTTGGCCCATCAGACAGGAACCCTTGGTGAAATGGACTAAACAAGCTGGGATTCCCTAGGGCCTCTTCTTCAGAACTCTGATTAGTAGAAGGGGTTGTGAGAAACCTGAAGGCTCAGGCCTGTTCAGGTAGAATTAAGCTGCCGGAGGCAGATCTGACAAGAAAAATATGGGGCTCCCAAGGGACATAGTCACTTCAGGGACCCTGCTGGGGAGCAACCATTCATGTCTGGGATGCAAAGCTTGGTGTTCCCTTAAGATAGTCATGTC